GGGCGAGGTCCTCTGACAGCCGATCCAAGCCGACCCAAAACTGAACGAAGCGATCGGGCGAAGGCCTCGCCTCCTCCCCAGAGCGCGCGCCCTGGGGAGGGTCTTGACCGACGTCGGCATTGCTGCCCGCTCTGGGGACGCCCCCGGGCATCGTCGCCGACTTTGCCGGGGGCGCGGCGAACGAGGCCGCGCAATTAGCAGCGAGCCTGAAAATGCCGCCGCGGGTCTCCCGAGCAGCAGCTGCGCATGGCGGCGGGGGGGGGGGGGGGCAGCCTGTAGATATCGGCGGGCCCCATGGCCCCCCCCGTCAGCAGCGACTTGCGGGCCTCGGTCCGCGCGCGAAGCCACTTGGGACTTTTCGCCCCGGGGCCCCTAGCCTGAGGGGGCGGGGGGGGGCGGGAAGATGGGCTTTCAGAACCATTCGACAGGTCGGCCCCCGGAATCGAAAACAGGATGAGAGGCGCCCATCAGACGAACAACTGCCCAGCTCGGCCCTGTTGGCCCATAACGCACACCCGCGAGCGGGGGGGGGGCCGAAAACTCCGCCCTGATGCACCGCGCCCACCGCGGCGTTGACCAGATCCAAGCAGCCATTCCAATCAGCGCCGCACTCGAAGGGCCTCGGCCCGAACGGGAGGTCCACAGGCAGGGGCGGCGGCCCCCTAATGGCGAGAGCCTTGAGCAGCAGCAGCTGCGGACGCAGGGCGGCGGGGGCGCTGCGCGGCGCCCGCGCGCGCTAGAGACCTTCGGCCAGCTGCTTCGAGACAAGGAAATAATCAAACTGATCAGGGGGGCCCGTCGGAGAAAAGTGGGCGCGCGTGCTACTCGTCGCCAACTGCCTCCCCAGCTGCTGCGGGATGCCAATGCCTTCGAGGTTGTCGGGGCCGATGTTGAAGCCCCCCGCGACAACGAACCCTGACGGCTGAGATGCGAAGCATCCCCTAGGTCGCTCAGCATAACGTCGAGGCCCAAGTTGCCCGCGCCAAGTAATTCGAAGCGAAGGCGCGCGCGGGCGCTCAAAGGGTGCACTTTGCAGACCGCGCGGCGGCCTATGGCGACGCGAAGCTCGGCTACATCGCGGAGCCCTCGCCATGGCCTGGCAACTGCAGCGACGCCCCCTGGGGCACCTCCCATGGGGCCCAGGAATACCTTCGATCCATATTGCTTGCCAAGCGACTTCCAGCATGGACGCGGAGGCCCGAGCAACCCGTTCAGTGGAACGAAGAGGGCGCACACTCTCCATGGTGTATCCCGCCGCGCCCCAGCTGTCACAGTTAACGGTCCAGATGGTAAACTGGGGGCCTTGCCCTGAGGCCACAACTGGGTTACTTGCGCCACATAAGGCATATTACCCAAACTGGGGCAATACCCCCGCTTCAGCCTTCCAACGGTGGCTGGGGCGTAAAATGACCTGGGCAGACTCGAAGGGGTCTGCATCCACGCGTGCAACTCGCTTAGAACGGCAAGGCGAGGCGAGGCGAGGCCATGCATCTCAGCGAACGGCATGGCAAGGCGAGGCCAAGCATCTCGAATGCCTCAAGTCCCCCGCCTCAAGCAGCAGCGCGCCCCCCTCCCTGACCAGGAGGGGTGGCAAGTGGGGTGGGGGTGGGGGTGGGGGGCGAGCTCGGCTGCGACTCTTGCACGAACGCTGATCTCCGGGGCCTCAGAAGCAGCTGCAACCGCGTGAGATTAGCCCGAGGCGGCCGCCTGGCCGCCTCCCGCCCCAGCCGCCGCTTCATCGTCTGGACCAGGCGAAGCCGCTGCTCCATCCTCGTTGACTATGCGCGTCTTCTTCTTCATCTGAAGGCGGCCGGTGCGACCGATGCGCTCGCGATGCTTAGCGCGCGCCTCCTCGGCGCTCTTAATGGCCTTCTCGAGCGAGTTCTTCGCGACAGCCTGCGCGTGTTTGCCCAGCTCCTCCTAGCGGTTGGAGATCCGCTCCTGATCGGGGGCGCTGACCTCGTGCCCAGAGGTATCGTCGAAGCCGGGCGCCCCCACGGTGACGAGATCGTTGAGCGACACTTTCCCGTCCACCAGATTCTTGGAAGAGCCTTGCCCGCAGCGGGCGAAGGCTCATGAACCTACTCGTGTAGTTCGCGAACCACCGCCTTGTATTCATTGTCGGCCTGCAGAAACTCCTGGTGGAGCTGTTGAACCCGCTGGCGCTGCTCCTCGGCCTCCTGCCACCACGTGTTTAACTTGGCGGGCTCGATGTGCAGCGCCTTCTCCTTCCTGCGAACGGCTGATTGCGCCTGCTGGCACTTCTGTTGAGGTGCCGCAACAGGCGGACCTGCTTCTGCATGAGCAAAGGGAGGGGGGGGGCAATCTGTTTGCACCGGACAGCTGCCGCACCACCTCCTGCCTTCTGAGCCAGCTGCGCGAGCTGGGTCGCCTCTGCCGCCGCGAGGTCAGGTATACTCGGCCAGGCGGTAGAGAGGAGGAGGAGGTGAGCTGGAGGCCTGTGCATCCCAAGAGCCACCGTCGACCACGAGGTCCAACGCGCCGTAGCCCTGGTCCTTGCCCAAGCCCGAGCCCTTGCCGAACTTGCCGCCCGTGCCGAACAGCTTGCCTCCCAAGGACCCGTGGGCATTGCTGCCGACTTTGTCAAGACTGCTATTGGGCATGCTCTCCCCCCGCAGCGCCACTGCCCCCCAGAAACCTCCTGGAGGCAGCGGCACGGTTGGCGGCACGGATGGCACCATCCTCTTGTAGCGCTTCACCACTGGTAATGTGTGGGTCTCTTCTTGCAGCCACAGTAAGGGCAGGGAGACTTGCTGGTCCCTCCTGCCCCTGCTCCCCCATCTGTCGAAACCCCCTGCCATGTCCACGGCTGGTACACCCAGCCGCCGCGAGTAGCAGAATCAGAACCCATCGGATGAGAGCACAGGGAGTGCACAAAGAGAACGTACTTGTGAAAACCGAAAAACGGGGACAAGCCGCGATACAGTGTCGGACGCGAGACTGCAAGAGCGGCAGCAGGGGCCGCGAATCCCCTGTGCCAGAAAAAACGTGAGTCCTTGAACAAACGCTGCGGATTTGAGCCAAATGGCTACGGACATCTTCTCATGCTTATCCCAATCCTCACCCACACCCTCCTCCTCCTCCTCCTCCTCAGCATCATCATGATCATGATCATGATCATCATCATCATCATCATCATCATCATCATCATCATCATCATCATCATCATCATCAGCGGAATCATCATCATCGTCAGCATCATGATCGTCATCACCATCATCATTCTCATCACCATCAGCATCATCCTCATAATCAGCATTCTCATCGACATTATCATGTTTATCATCATCCTTATCGTCATCATCATCAACATCATCATCTTCGACATCATCAACATCGTCATCATCATCATCATCATCATCAGCATCATCATCATCATCATCATCATCATCATCATCATCATCATCATTACCATCATCGTCGCCATCATCATCATCATCATCATCATCATCATCATCATCATCATCATCATCATCATCATCATCATCATCGTCATCTTCACCGTCATCAGCACCATCACAATCAACACCATCATCATCACCATCATCACCATCACCATCATCATCATCATCATCAGCAGCAGCAGCAGCAGCAACATCATCATCACCCCCATCTTCCTCAGAACCCTCAACATCTTCATCACGGCTCTCCCAAGCCTGAAGACACGAAGTGTGACACGTGACGGCCTCCCGTGACCCCTCGAGCAGTCGCCACCAGGCTGGCACGATGACGAGCCTCGCCGCAGGCAGTTGGATAATTTCGCATCCTGATGGTCCCAGGAAGCTGGAGGTCCCGTCTCCATGTTAGCAGCTACACGCGCAGCTCGTCCACATTCGGGCCCATGAGGCCTTCAACCAGCAAGAAAGGAGCGATTGAATGGATACGGCTTGGGCAAAAAAGAAGCCCAAACCAACATCATGGGGACATGACCCGCTGGGGCCTTGGCCAGCTCACCCCCCTCACAGCGAAAACTCGCGTGGCGAGGGACCGAACCCTCAGCAGCCTCACGCACCGTTGGTGATGAACCTCTGGACGGCCCGTGCGAGGGACGTGCCGAAATGAGAGAAAGAACGACTGCAACTGTCCACTTGGGGCCGCATGTGGGGCCACCTTTGAAGGCGCAAAACGCGCAAAAGGATTCAATCGCGCCGAAGTGGGCGCCAGGAGACCACGCAACCCGTCACACTGGGGCCGTCGGCGGGCCTCGCGTGAGGGGCGCGCCGAAGCGGGCGGAAGTGCGCGTAACAAAAACTTTCCTCTGGGGCCGGTCCTCCGTGCAGGGTGCGCTGATGTGGGCGGCACCGCCACGCGGACCGCGGACCCTCCCACGCGTGAGGCGTGTGCGGGAACGGGTGGTGTGGCGCTATGCGGCACCTTGCAACGGAGGACTTCGATGGAACTCCCTACGGGACATCGAAGCGTGAGGGGTGTGCCTCTGGATGACGCGGCAACGCCATACGTCGGCGCGCACGCAGACGGTGCGCGCTGAGGCCATTTGTGGAGCTCCTTCGTGTCAGGCGTGAGTCGACATGGGCGGGGGGACCACATGCGGTCGGGCCCGCCGAGACCGCGGGTGGATGTGGCCACGAAATGTGTGAGGGTTGTGCCCAAATAGTGGGGGGGACCGCATGTGATCGGTGGAGCACCCTATTGAGCAACGAACCGTGCAAGGGGTGGGCCGAAATTGACACGCGGAGAGCAGAGGCAGGAGGGAGGAAGGAAACGCGCGCGCTGCTGAGCCAAACGAGGATCCAACTCAACACTGGAGGGTTGGGAAAAACTGAGGGGTATCCAAGAAAGTGCCTGGTCTGGTAATTATGCGCTTCACAGGAGGCTCAGCTGGGCCTCCCGCTGGGACGGAGAGGGAGGGGGTGGGGGGAGCGAGATGCGTAAGTGGGTCGATGAATGTCCCGGATCCATCTGCGTCGGTGCATCGCTTAGGACTAAGATGGGCTGGAACGGCGTCGGCCTCAAGAATCGTAGAGTGTCCCATTACAGGACCAGTCGTTCGTCCGGGAGGGGTGACACCTCTGCCGCTGCATAAATGTCAGCACGCGCGTAGGTATGAGCAACCCTTCGTCTGTCACTTGTCTCAATTCGACCGAGTCCCAATACTCGCACTCTTTCTGATACACGCCCGTGAAATTGTTCTGTTGGCAGTAGGGCAGCTTGCTCATCGATTCGAAGCCATGGCTGCAATTCATGTGAAAAGGGTCGCAAGAATCCTCGGAAGGATCGCGCAACTGCACCCGCACCACTCCGTGGACCGGTGTTGTGTTCAGGTGGCTGCCACGATACGCGATGTGGAATACGACTATGATGGAGGAGAAAACACATGCATAATCATATCCTTTCGATGCTCCGCGCTGATTTCTTGGATCTGCGCTGAACCCCCCTCCCTGGCGCGCGGAGCGCACTAGGGGCGGCGCCGCAAGTCGCGGCCAGCGCACATCCAGGAAATCCGCGCGGAGCTACAAAAGATTATGTTTGTGCACTTGTTTCTGCCTCGGTATGAATGTAAATATCAAGCCCAACAGGAAGTGCCGCAGCAGCGCCAACTTGACGTCGTGCACCCTGACGACCTTCGGGGTGGGGAACATGAAGACTTCCTCTGGAGCCGAAATGCTCAACGCCGCGCAGGGGGCCTCCACAGCAGACACCCTGCCTCTTGGAAATCCTCATGCCTTCTGGTAATGATCATCGTTTAACCGAAACCTGTCCCACTGGCATGGCCTTTGCCCCACTGGCCGACTTACTTTCCTGCCTAAATGTGGATATGTGCCTGTTCCTTCAGGTTTCGCGGGGCCCCACAGGGAAGGGTGGGCTGGTGGAAGTGAGCCTTCTTAGACATTGACTGAAGGACAGTTGCCCTCCGATCGAGGGAGAACAAATTGCAGTAGCACAAACTGTTGGGGGTCCGCGCGGATTTCCTGGATCTGCGCTGGACCCCCTCCCTGGCACGCGGAGCGCGCCAAGGGCTCCGCCAGGAGGGCCCAACGCAATTCCAAGAACTCCGCGCGGAACCCCGGAACTTTCGTAGCACCCCGCATTTACTTATAAGAGTGCCCTGGAGCGCGGAGCGCGCCAGGGGCGCCGCCAGGAGGGCCCAGCGCCGCTCTAAGGAATCCGAGCGAAACCTCCAAGTCTACGTAGCACGCCGCAGTTGCAGATAAGAGTGAGGGGGCGGCAAGGACGTCGGCAGTCTGCGAGGCTCTGAAGAAGCCCGCCGCAGCGCCATATTTGTACAAATCATACAGGAGCTCGCCACAAGCGCTACCCATCGGTCGGAAGAAGTAGGCTGAAACATGAAGAGGAAGGCGTTGAACGTAGATTGGGTTCCGTCCGCCACCTAAGGAGGATGGAAAAGATCAAGTCACTCGATCATTGCAGGTGAAGGCGCTCAAAGTACATTGGAATCTGGGAATCCAAAAATATCTACTTTCAACGACCGATGGGTAACTGTTTTGTGCAAGCAGTGCTGCGTCGCGGGGTGCGTCGCGGGCTCGACTCTCTAGAAGGCACCCCGCCTCCTCAGATCGCCACCTCCCTCGCCCTGCCACCCCCCCCCGTCTGCAGGGCTGCCGAAGGGGCGCAGCCAGGACGGGGGAGGAGCCCTCGAGCGCCGGCGGAATGGCGAGGGCCTCCGGGAGGAGGGCGAGATCGCTGGCGTGCCCCGTCTTGGGGCCCCTTTGGGAACCTTGTCCCGGCCTCATGGGGCAATCCTGGGGGTCCGGTGCCGCCTACCCAGGAGGACGACGGCGACCACGGCGACAACGCCAACGACGAGCTGATGACCCTGCCACAGGTTCGGGACGTGGAGCGGGCGGCGGAGGGAGGAGGAGGAGGAGGGAGGAGGAGGAGGAGGAGGAGGAGGAGGAGGAGGAGGAGGAGAAAGAGGAGGAGGAGGAGTGGGGAGGAGTGGGGAGGAGGAGGAGGAGGCGTGGGGAGGAGGAGGCGTGGGGAGGCTCGGTGGCGCGCCCGGAGGCTGCCTGTCTGCACGGTCTCGGTGGCGCGCCCGGTGGCTGCCCGGGTGGAGGCTGAGGGGGCCCATGATGGGCCAGGGGCACGCAGATGTATGAGCAGGCGCAGAGCCCAGGGTCCACGGTGTCTCGTCGTTTCGGGGTGCTCGTCTTCCCCCCGGATTCCCCTGGTTTCCCGTCGCGTCCTCGGGGTCCGCGATTCACTGTGCCTGCGTGTTGCTTCCCCCTCCCTGAAAAGATGGGTGCTTACAATGCCCAGCGACAGATGCTGCCCAAAAGCGACAACGGCCGCTGTTGGGCAGGCGGGCTTCTGTCTCAAACGAACCACGTCCACGGCGACACCCGCGGCGTGTCCTGTTCAAAGTGAGCCGGAAGTGCAGTTCGTCTTTGTACCCACTCCTTCCGTACCCACCCCGCTCGCCCACGCCGGCAGTCCTTGCTCAGACAGTCCATGGCGAAGCCCATGTGGCGGAGGAGAGACACGCAGAAGGCGAGGACCGCCGCTGCGGACCAGCGCCCGCGGCCTGCCGACGGCCAGGTGGACGAGGCCGCGGCCGCCCCCCCTGGAGCTCGGCGCAGCCGGACGGAGGAGCTGGCCGAGGGGATTATCGGCCAAGCGTGAGATCGGGCATGTCCCCCTACAGGCGGATTTTTGACGAAAAATATGGAGAAGGCCCACAGATATTCAAAAAGATTCAAAAGGATAGTCGAAATCTCGTCCCCAGACTATTTGTTTACAATTTTTGCAGATTCCTCCTGTAGAGGCACACGCCCGACTTAAGCCAAGCGGGGAGCTGAGCATCGACGCCCCGCCGCAGCTCGGGCGCAAGGACCTCGAGCAGAAGGGGGCAGCAGAGCGGAGGAGGGCGGGTTGGGAGGTGGATGAGGGGCACACGGGGATGTGCTGACACGCGCGACGGCAAGAATCGAAGGCAGGAGGGGAAAGCGAGGCGGAACTGACTGGGTCATATAGTGGAGACAAAGAGCGACCGCTGGTTTCGCCGACGGCCAGTTTCGCCCAGCTGGTTTCGCCCGGCTGGTTTCGCCTGGCTGGCGAAACCAGCTCCGTCGGGGAAACCAGCTGCCGTCGGCGAAACCAGCTGCCGTCGGCGAAACTGCCCGACCCGACCCGCCAGCGAGGGTTCGCCCGCCCGACCCGACCCGCCCGTTAGGGTTCGCGCGTACTCGGTCGAGCGCGCCCCACTCTTTAATGTCCCGCCCGCCTGACCCGACCCGCCCGTTAGGACCCGCCCGGCCCGACCCGACCCGCCCGCCAGGGCCCGCCCGCCCGACCCGACCCGCCCGTTAGGGTTCGAGCGTGCTCGGTCGAGCGCGCCCCAGACTTTCATGTCCCGCCTGCCCGACCCGACCCGCACGGTAGAAGCCCCGCCTCTCAGACGCAGAAGCCCTGCCTCAGACGCAGGGGCATCCGCGTATCTCTGAACACAAAAAGAATGACGAAGAGGTGGCGGGTGGTAAGAATGAGGGGACGGAAGGTAAGAAGGAGGTGACGGAAGGTTAAAGGGAGGTGACGAGAGGTTAAGAGGGAGGTGGCGAAAGGTTAGACGGATGTGGCGAGAAGCGAGACGGATGTGGCAGAACGCGGCCTCTCAGAAGCCTCTCAGAAGAGTCTCTGAAGCTTCTCAGAAGCCCCTCGGAAGCCTCTCAGAAGCCTCTCAGAAGCCCCTCAGAAGCCTCGCAGAAGCCTCTCAGAAGCCTCTCAGAAGCTGTTCAGAAGTTGCTCAGGAGCCCCTCAGAAGTTTATCAACAGTTTCTCAGAAGATTAGCAGGAACTTCTCAGAAGATTCTCATAAGCCTCTCGTAAGCCTCTCAGGAAACGTTCAGAAACCTCTCAGGCGTTTATCCGAAGCCTCTCAGAAGCTTCTCACAACGTTCTCAGAAACCTCGCAGAAGCCTCGCGGAACTTTCTCAGAAGCCCCTCAGAAGCCTCTCAGAAGCCTCTCAGAGGCCTCTCAGGGGCCTATCAGAAACCTCTCAGAAGCCTCTCAAAAGCCTCTCAAAAGCCTCTCAGAAGCCCCTCCGCCGTTCTTTTTGGTTTCCAGAAATTCAGCAGGAGCCTCTCAGAACTTTCTCAAACGCCCCTCAGAAGCCTCTCGGAACTTTCGCAGAAGCCTCTCAGCAGCCTTTCAAACAAATGCCTCTCAGAAACCTCTCAGAAGCCTCTCAGAAGTTCCTCAGACGCCTCTCATAAGCCTCTCAGAAGCCCTTCAGAAGTTCCTCTCAGAAGCCTCCCAGAACTTTCCCGAACGCCCCGCAGAAACCTCTCGGAACTTTCTCAGAAGCCTCTCAGAAGCCTCTCAACAGCCTCTCAAAACAGCCTCTCAGAAACCTCTCAGAAGTTCCTCAGAAGTTGCTCAGAAGCTTCTCGTAAGCTGCTCAGAAGCATCTCGGACACTTTCTCAGAAACCTCTCAGAAGCCTTTCAAAAGCCTCTCAGAAGTTCCGCAAACATTGGTCAGAAGCTTCCCAGAAACCTCTCATGAGTTTCTCAGAAGCCTCTCAGAAGCTGTTCAGAAGTTGCTCAGAAGCCTCTCAGAAGCCTCTCAAAAGCCTCTCAGAAGCCTCTCAGACGTTTATAAACCTCTCAGAAGCCTCCCAGAACTTTGTCAGAAGCCTCGCAACAACAACAAAACAAACTCTCGGAACTATCTCAGAAGCCTCTCAGACGCCTCCCAGAGGCTTCTCAGCAGCCTCTCAGAAGCCCCTCAGAAGCCCCGCAGAAGCCTCTCAGAAGCCTCTCAGGAGCCTCTCAGAAGCCTCTCAGAAGCCTCGCAGAAGCCCCTCAGAAGCCTCTCAGAAGCCTTTCATAAGCCTCTCAGAAGCATTCCAGAACCTTCTAAAAAACTTCTGAGAGACAATCCAAACTTTCGAAGCTTCTCAAAGATTTACCGGGGAATGTCCGATTCCCCGGAAAGATTTTCTGGGGAATGTCCGATTTTCCCGGTGTAAGTCCGATTTTACCGGGAGCCATGACTTTCTCCCCCCTGCAGGCG